GATGGTGCTGAAAAATTCCCCCAGGTAATACTGGTAGAAAGTTAAGGTGATCTGGGAGCAATAGCAATATATATCTCCTCAATATATGTTCCATTCTATATGCATCCGAAGAAGTGGGCTGTAGTCCACGAAAGCTTATGCTCTAATAAATTTGTTAGTCTCAGTGGTGCCACAAGTACTCCTGTTCTTTTTGCAATATATTGTCTTTCTTAAAGGGAAACCGCTTAAAGTCACAGTTTGAATGTGTTGCTACTGTACTTGTACCATCTATGGTCACTGTAGTGGGAAAGTTAAATGACTTTTCTTTTCCATTTTCTTTGTGTGACAGCACTATATATATATATTATTTTTCACTGCTTCATCCGTGTAGTCGGTTTCCCCTGTTTGTTTGTGCCTGTCATGCAATTACAGGGGACAAACTTTTATTTTAAAATAGGAAGATATGATTGTAGAGGGAGACATAGGTATTTGAAATTACTTTTAACTCCATTTAAAAAAAAAGAATTAGGTTTCATGTTGAGTGTTTTTATTTTCTTTTTGGGTTTTGTGATGCTGCTATATTTGTGATATGCCAACACTTCCAGTCTAACCTCTAAAAAACCTGTTCTTTTTGTGGATACAGACTAACACGGCTGCTACTCTGAAACCAGTCTAACCTCTGTCCTTTATGTAAAATATCTTGGTTGTTCAGTCACTTTGGAACTTGATATATAGGCTGTTGGTCTGGATGCGCTTTGTAACAAAAATGGGTTTTACATCTTAAGTTGTTTGCATTATAGAGCAGAAAATTGTTGAATGGTTTCAGATTAATTTTGAAAGCTCCATCTAAAAGTAAAACTTATAAATATAGCATGCATATTTACTAATTGTGGCTTTAGACCAGGTTTGAAATACTTTGCATTTAAGTTTTGAGAAAACAGAGATGTTTGAAGAGCAATTACTGTGAGTTCATGATAGCTCTTTTCTGTAGTTTATTTTATAATTAAAATTCTTGTTCACGTGAATATTCTTATCGGCTCAAGTGTCACTATTGAGTTCTTCTTTGAGTGCTTGCTCATGTCCATTCCATATTAGGTGTGTGTACTCGCCACATGCACCAGTGCTGGACATTCTCTCCTCAGTGGTATCCGTAGGGGACCGGCTCTGGCGCCCCCTGGAGAGGCATGCAAATACCACGGTATAAGGGGCGCCGCCGGCTCCCCCCACCCTCAGTTCCTTCTTGCTGCCAGTGTCGGTGCTGGAACTTCTGCTGCTTCGGCTAGCATTTTACTTTGTTCAGTGTTTTTCACGAATGTTTTCCTGTAAAATAGTTGTGTATATAGTTAATAGTTCTCTTAGTGTTAGTTCTGGTTAGTTGGTCCTGGACGGGACTTAGCCTAGGGATGGGGCATGCCCGGTCCCCAGGCTTTAAGCCATGTGATCGTTGTAAGCAGCCTGTGCCCATCAGTGACCCGCACGTTAGTTGTTTAGGGTGTCAAGGCAGCATTTCTCAGATGTGGCCACCAGGGGCTTTTCTTGCAGCCACAGCCTCCTGGGCAGTGATTTGGGAGAGGGGGTGGGCAAAGCAGCAGCCCCTCCCCAGGGGCCACCAACAGTGGTTGGGCCCTGCCCCTCTCTGGAGAAATACAAGCTGGAGGAGCAGGCAGTCAGTGAGTTCTCCACGTTCCCGGGGGTGGTGTAGCTGGGCTTCAGCCCTGGGGTGGCAGACGGCGGGCTCCAGCCACGGGATTTCTGGCCCTATCCCCTGGATGTCCCATTTCCCCTGGCCCCCACTGCCTCTGTAGCCACCTCCCCATCCAGGGCTTAATTTGTCCCCGGGCTTGCCGGGGCTGAGTAAGTCTGCTGTGAAAAGTGATATTAACAAACATACAAATATCACTTTTCAGTTAGCAAGTCTTAAAAAAAAAAGGGGGGGGGGACAAAAGAAACAAG